GATGTGTGCCAATGCTACTGGTGATGCAAAGTGTAGCCTTTATTAGTGTTCACTCTGAAACTCCAGAGCGTTTCAGGCAAAAGATTGTCCTCATGGATTATTTGTGTGTGCTGTGGAGGGCAATCAGTAAGGCATGGGTCACTAGGGAATTTTTCTATAACTGGTTTCACCATGCATTTTGCCACACAATGTGAAAGATTTCCTAACTGAAAGAAATTAGACCTTATGTGCCTTCCTGGTGTTAAGTCTTGACCCTGAGTCAAAACTACAGGGAAGTGGCTGAAGGACTGTTTGGGGACATGAGCTTAATTAAGGTGAAGTTTGAGCCTCCTATATACCACTCATCTCTGCAGCCCATGGACCAGCAGGTTATTTCCAACTTCAAGATACTGTACACATAAGCTTTGTTTGAATGGTGGGCTTTGTAATGACCTCAGAACTCAACTGACATCTAAGAGTGTTTTTGGAGAGATCATTTAATATCCTCAATTGTGTAAAACCTTATAGGTAAGGCTTGGGAGGAAGTGAACTAAGAGGACCTTGAAACTCTGCTTGGAAGAAGATGTGGGCAAGATTTTGTAGACAAAAGGGATTTGGAAAGTGGTTGAGTGCTAAACCTGAGAATCCTGTGCCAGTTGAGAATCCATTGTGGGCATGTAGGAAAGTCCTTGGGGGTTCGGAGGTTAGTGGGGAGGTTGTGGAAGAGTTGGTGGAGGAGGACAATAAGAATAACACTGATGAGCTGATAGATAAACTTCAAGAGCAAGAGGCCAGACTGGGGAAAAAAACTGGTTCAGAGGGGGGTTAGAGAAATTGAGAAGTTGCTCACTACAAAGATAAAGGAATTCTGTGCAAAGTGGCTTGAAGTGAAACCTTCATGGATGAAAAATCACACCTCACACAGCTATTGCATGCCGTGTTGGAAACCTGTACATGACAAATGTTGTGAATACACTTTAGGGAGTCATAAAGGAACGAGAGGTACAGGCCACTATGGACAGATATCTTGTGGAAGAAGTCAGTGAATTGAAGCTGGCCCTAGTGGCATTAAAGTAGAAGGGAAGTAAACCCCGATAAGGACTTGCTACCTCAAGGTCCTAATGGACAGGGGATTCTCCTTCTAAACAGTAAGAAGATAAATTGCTCTTCCCCTTCCTTCCTTCCCATCAATATTCACCAGATCTTCAATTAAGTAAGTGTCATATTAGTGTGCATGCCTTTTCAGTTTGTTGTGTATGTATTATAATAAATTTAATGTGGTAAAAAAAAATTTTTTTGTTTCATACTTTTTGTGGCATCTTGCAGGCTTAATTCTTATTTCCATTTTTTCTTATGGGGAAATATCCACATAACGATTATTTCGCATAAACAATTATCCCTCTTGCCGGATAAATCGCTTAACACGGGGGGTCCACTGTACTCATAGACTGAATGTAAAACAATGCATGCAACCATATGGACTCTCGTCTTTGTAATACTCACTTGTGCTTTATAGGTAATTCTGTTTACATTAATGTTTTAATCACTGATTTCATTCATTGCTTAGTTAATCTTAAGTTTAATTTAAGCAGCCCGTAATGCTAGGCATAGTATAAGTGCTTTGGCATGCTGCTCTTATCTGTATTTTTTTGCTACCTCCTTATGGTGCCCAAAATTGTTACTAATTAAATAAATAATAAATAAATAAAAATGCCCTAAATAAAAACTAAACAGATGACAGCTAAGAGACTGAAACAGTCCCTGGCTATCACCTGCATTCTCAAATCCATAAATCATAAACACGGATATGAAAAAACAGTTCAGAATGGGCAATAACAAGAGACAAACTAAAATCCGTTATCGTCAATCTACCAGCCTGATAAGAAGGGCAAAATAACTGTATTATGAGAAAGATTATCAAACTTACGAGGTGTTATAAAAAAGACCTGGAAGACCCTATCAGATATTCTGGGAACAAAAATGATTTCACGAAATAGCGAAAACAAAATTAGCAAAATCAGATGAACCCCAACTCCACCAACAGAAACAGCAAACAGGACTCAATGTTTCTTCTCATCCTATAGGACAAAACCTTGCCAATAAAATCCCAAGCTCGATACCCCCCAAATGATTCCACCGGACAACTACCCAAACACCACTGTTAACTAGCTCGACTTAACCCATACGATGTCTACCTTATTATCAAGCAATAAAAATTCAAGGAAG